GGAACATCTGCCTAACATCATGCTCCCCTATAATGAGACGAGTGGCGCATGAACCAGGTGGGGGAGGGGGCAGGGCTGGATCAGAGGTGAGCTGCTATGGTGCTTCAAATCATGCAAAGAAGCAATTTAACTCCTCTGCTATTTGTGCACTCTGGCCTGTAGTCACATCACAGCCACTGAAATCAGTGATGTTCTGTATGCCCTTCCGCACCTCCCATGAGTTGTTGCTGGACAGTTGGGACTCTATGCTCCTCTTGTGGTCAGCCTTAGCAGATTTTATGCCTTTCTTCAGGCTGGCTCAGGCAGCTCAGTAAAGAGCTCTGTCACCTGACCTGAAGGCACCATCACAGGCTTTGAGGAGTGTACGAACGTGGTCATCCAGGGTTTCTGATTTGGATAAACCCGGATGGATTTTTCCTCCATCACATTTCCAATGCAGAACTTGATGCAGTCCAGAACCGTTTCTGTGTACTTCTCCAGCTCCTGATGTTCGAATAGGCCCCAGCCAGTTTGTTAAAAACAGTCCTGTAGTTCACTGAGAGCATTTACAGGCCAAGTTGTAGCAGTCTTTATGATGGGCCTTGTGCTGCATCTGAGGGGGGTGTAAGATGGAGAGAGCAGGAGAGAAAGATGGTCTGACTGCCCGAGGTGGAGGAGGGGTTGGCTCTGTATGTATGTTTGATGTTTGAATACACATGATCCAAAGTGTCCCCTCTAGTAGAACACTTGACATGCTGGTAAAATTTGGGGAGTACAGTCTTTAGCCTAATTAAAATCTCCTCAATGATGTGAACACCGTCGGGGTGCAGCCGCTGCTGTTCATTAATGGTGTTCAGGAGGAGGAAGAGTGCCATGATTACATTAGCATCTGGTGGTAAATACCGTACACAGCAATGACTATCACTACTGTTAGCTCCCTCAGTAGGAAGAAAGGTCGGCACCTCACAGACTCGATGTCTGGGGAACAGTGTTTTGCTATGATTGTCCCATTATTGCACCAATTCTTATGCACGTAAATACAGAGCCCCCCACCCCTGCTCTTACCGGAGTCCACAGTCCTGTCCCCGCGTAGCACAGTACGGCCTGCTAGCTGCATGCCAGCATTGGGTATGGTATGGTGAAACTAGATTTCTGTGATAATCAGAACACAACAGTCACGAACATAGCATTTGCCAGTGAGTTGCAAGTTCAAGTAATCCATTTTATGCACCAGGGATCTTGTGTTGGAGAGATAGAGGCTTGGTAGAGGTGGCTTGTGAGGCTGTGATCTTAGCCTTAGCATGACACTAGAACTACGACCCCGCTTCTGCTTCCTCTCCCTTCTCCATCTCTGCCACCTCCTGGTCCTGATAACAATCCACGGGGAGCCAGGTGGTCTTGCTATCTCGTCTGGAATGTTGTGTGTGTGGTGGAAGTCACTTGTCACCTGTAATTGGTGCTGCTCGCCGATGACCAGAAGAGTCTGGTGTTCGTAACTAGTATTCACAGACTCAGCGGAATACACGTGAAAAAAAAAAAACATGAAAAAAGTTTAGCAATGGCAGTGGAGGAAGTGAATGAAGCCAGTCCATGTTGACAAGGCTTCCAAATTAAGTTAAATTTGTCTCACAAAGCCTGCAGCACTCATTTACAGCCACTTTGTTCAGCTTGGTACTTCCATCTTCCCAGTTGCAGATGGTAGTTTACAGCGCACACAATTTCCAGTTAGCTTCTTACCTTAGCGTCCTTCATGGTTGAGCTGATTCACTACATACGTCACAGCCAAACGTTAGCGATTAGATAAATCAGATCTGATCAATTTAAACTTCAACAGAGTCCACACCTCCAGCAAGCAATCACTTCTCAATAGCTGAGGTTTCTGACCATCTGAATGAAGCCAAGTGTAGAACAAGGGGCTGGTTTTCACCAGGTTAATGAAAAGTTATAAAATATTAATTTTTCCCCCATTTGTGGTGCCCCCTAAATAAACGATGCACTTAATTTGCCTACATTGCCTAAGCCACAGGCCAACTGTAGTAATGTGAGATGTACCAATCAGAGTATGTGTTGAGAATGGCTTTCACTCACTACCCTGTCAGATTTTAGCTTAATATCTGTAAATTTAAAAGTGTTATAGCAATTTTTATGATGCTTAATTCTGATTAAATGTGGCAGCCACATTACTCTTAAAGGAAATCAGGTGTAGATGCACATCCAAAGAATATTTCACATTTTAATTAAAATATGCCCAGTGAGTCATGAGATATTTTGCTAACAGAGTTGATCTATAGTTAATAGCAAATCTATGTTTGACAAGTCTCTTTTACTACCTGTCTCAATCAGATTACCTGTCTAAATATTATTGAATCATTAAAAAAAGATCTGTTGTCTCAGAATGTGTTGTTGATCAGTCTAAACTGCTACCATGTCGAAGTGTAGGTAAATATCTTTAAAATTGACAAAGTTATAGCAATTTTGTGTTTTTTTAAGGTCGTTTGGCTTATCAGGATAGATGTGCACACAAAATTTACTTTTAGAAAGTTATTGTTATCAGGTCGAATAAATCTAAAAAATAAAAATAAAAAGTGAAAGCTTAATAGAGCCAGTGCAGTTTAACAGAACAGGAAGAAATTCTGACCCAGTGAAGGTCAAACATGATTTTTATTTATTTATTTATTTATTTATTTATTTATTGCTTCTTTTGGTGTAAACATTGCTTCTACTGAATCACAACCACAAGCAGTATAATCTGTACTGCCAGAGTTTGGCAGCATTAAGAAAGTTATTTATTTGCTTCATCTTCTATGGGCAAATGAAATGTCTGATTTAAATTAACTTTTCAAGTTAATAATGATTTGTTTTGTTAGGGGAATGAATGCCAAGAAATAGAAAAAAAATTGCATCCATGTGATATGCCTAATCGAGATGTAACAATACATCAATCCATATCCGTATACAGATTAAATGATAATTGATTCAATTACATCAAGGCAAAATGAAAACATCGATCTATATAGTCATCATATGCTTGATGTAGATTGATATATGCACATTTAATACAATCATTGTGTTTGATACGAATCGTAAATTTGTGAATTGATTTGATTCGTATCATGGCAGACTTTGTGAAGTCGAGAAGCATCCTATCGTCATTCAAACAAATTCATCTATTGTATTGTGATAAATCTGCTGACACGGCCTATCATAAAGTGCCTACAAAAAGTATTCACCCCCTTGAACAGTTTATGCTTTAGTGCTGTTGTAAAAAAGTCATGGTCAATAAAAGTTGATGTTCTTTCAAAAACAAAAACATAAAAAGAAATCTAAAAAAAAAACAGTTTTGATTTCAAAGTAAAACCAAAATTCTATTGAGGAATACCAATTAAATAAATATATACATCCGTCCATAAAGAGGCTAGAGAAGACAAGCATGTAATTGGGAAGTCACAGATTTGAATCCTGACTGGCAGAAAGAAACTGGGTAAGGTAGGTGAAGCACCCGCAGCTGCCTCCACTCCACACTGGGATGCGAAAAATGCTTCTTTCTTTCCATGTCACAGTGGTCATTGGTGCCCATGTCCAGCAGTCACTGTGTGAGAGGCTGGATACACCCTGACCAACAAAAAGATTGTCCTAATTTACTCAGAGGAGAGAATGAAAAGTACAAGTCCGGGGATGGATGTAAAAAGTCTTAAACATCACAAGGCGTTCTGGCAAATCAATCACCATCAAGAAATGGAGGGAATATGGGATATATGTAATTCTACCAAGAGCAGGGTGTCCTCACAAAGAGTGAGAATAGTAAGTGGAACCACCAGCACACCTGTGATCACTCTAAGTCACAAGGAGTTACAAGCCTCAGCAGATGAAACTGTTGCCTTGAATCCTCAACAGACTTAGCCTTATGGGAAAGTAGCAAAGAGTCATTGTTGACATAAATTAAGATTAAATCTTGTCTAGGGTTTGTCAAACTCCAGGCACTGTATTTTTGCTGTAAAGAAATGTTAAGTTGTTGAATATTGCACATGTGCTGGTTTTGTGTGTGTGTTTTTGGAACAATAAAAAGCCCAGATCTCTATTGTGCACTTTAGCTTTAACAGAAACTCCACCTGTAAGCAACACTCTTTTTCTTCTTTACCGAAAACAACAGTCTAAACAAAATGGGCTTTATATTATTATTATTATTCCTCTCAAAAAATATTATCATTCCTCTTTATTTCAAACATTTATCCACTATGTTCTCCCAAGTCTTTCCCTTTCGATGCCAAACATTTCTTTGATTCTTTCCCCTCCCTTTCTTGTGTGCTGCAGCTCCATCGCTGTTGTCACATTGAAGCGAGGCGTGATAGCATAATAGCGTCTGAGCAGAGCCTCGCTTTAATTGTAGAATGTCTGTGGTGGAAATTAAATCTCACTCAAGATTTAATGGTTGGGGATTAGGTCGAGCCCCAGGGTCAAGATCAGCTATTCACATTGCTATTGACTTTGCAGCACTCGGCTCCGAAGTCACATTTGATTTAATGATGTGCGTGTTTGCAAATGCATGTCTGTAGAATGTGTGTGCAGTGCATTGAAAGGGCCTGATTGACAAATATATATTATGTTTGTGCCAAAACATGGATCCTTGACAGCTTAGTGTCTGAGAAGCAATTCTGTTGATGTTGGGTACCTTATTTGCTTAGAATTGAAGCAACTAGTTGAATTAATTTCTTTGACTCAAGCCTTGTTTTTTTTTTCTCTTTAGGAATATACTGAGAAAAACAATACTAAAATACAACTCTATATTTATCTATTAGAAGAGTTAGCTTTTATCTGAAAACTGGATAATGTTTGTTACACGTCATACATGGCATCTGAAATTACAGTAGATGGAAACCGGAGAGAGAAATAAATACCATGTGAAATCAGCCAAGACAATTCACATTTTCCTTAGGCAGTAATTTGTGTTGTAGATAATACATTTTCTAGAAGATATTTCCATGTAATTTATTGCACTGATTGTTTTATTTTCTCTTTTTCAGGTTGCCAGCTGCCACTATAACCATGGAACCAATACAAACATAAATCTTAACGCTCCATAAGGATTCGGAGAAGAGGCGGTTTATGGTTAAACGATGAACCCGTCGTGTACTGCAGGATACATCATAAACCCCTGACACCTGTCGCCACTGCTGAAGCCACAGTCCTCTTCTGCTTTTTTTTCCTCTTAAAGATTACAGTGTTTTCCCCCAAACTTGTGGCAACGACAAATTTTCTGGAGATTGCACAGAAGTCCGTGTTCTACAGACAAACATTACAACTTTGAGCAAAAGACATTCGAAGTAACGGATGTGCTGAAATTACTGTAGTTCCCTCATTTACTYCCCTGCTGTTTCTCTGTCCTAGAGGCACCGACTGATGGAGAGACGAAGACGGGAGTCAGGATAAAGACGAGAATCGAAGTATTGAGCAGCAGAAGCAAAACTGCTTTTCGGCCCGAAAATATTATAATAGATCTTCTGTGGGGATTGCTTTATGCTAAAAATATATTTCAGTTGTGATTAAAAACTAATTCTCGTATCCACAGTAGAGCTAATCTTTAGCTCCGTGGTTTATTAAACATTAAAGGATCACGGAGAAAAGGGAAAACTTTAGAACTTCTATCATGACCAGGAGGTTAAGAGCCCTGTGTTTGCCCCTGTGGCTCGTTGCCCTATTCAGCATGCTCACCACAGTGAAGATGCTGGAATTCGGAGGGGCACCGGGCCAGTATGCTCGCTATGGACGCTGGGAGGCTGGATCGGTGGGTGAGCTGAGCTTCAGTCTAAAAACCAACATCAGCCAAGCCTTGGTACTCTACCTGGATGACGGTGGCAACTGTGACTTCTTGGAGCTACTGATTGCTGGTGGACGACTCCAGTTGCGCTTTGCCATCCACTGTGCCGAGCCAGCTATTTTGCATTTGGAAACGCGAGTCAACGATGACCGCTGGCACATGGTCTTGCTCACCCGCAACTTTCGCAATACTTTACTGATGGTGGACGGGGAGACAAAAGTGGCCGAAGTCAAGTCGAAGAGGAAGGAGATGGCGGTGGTCAGCGACCTGTTTGTGGGTGGAATCCCTCCAGACGTGCGCCTCTCCGCTTTGACTTCCAGCACCGTGAAGTATGAGCCTCCTTTCCACGGCTTGATCTCCAATCTGAAAGTGGGAGAGACGCCACCTACTTTGTTAAATAGCCAAGGAATTCAGAGTGATCTGGAGTACCTCTGCACCAAACAGAACCCATGCTTCAATGGAGGGTTTTGTTCAATCCAGTACGGAGAAGTTCACTGTGATTGCACCCACACTCGCTATAGGGGCAAGTACTGCAAGGAAGGTAAGGGAACATCTCATTGTACCTGCTGTATTTTGGCTGGTTGCTTATTTAATTTGGGCTGGACTCAACAGGGGAGTGTGTCGTTCTTCAGATAGAAAAGGAAACTCTCAAATAAAACTTCTTGTGCTTTTGGATTATTCCCATGTGTAATTGGATTTGGATTATTCCCATGTGTATAATTGGATTTGGATTATTCCCAGGTGTGTAAACACTTTGTTGGTGGAAGTTTTGCACATGGGATTGCTAATGCTAACTACTTCTATTGTCTGAACTCAAGCAAGGAAACGATAAGTTGGTGTATTGCTGGTATTGAAACTAGGAAAGAGTAAACACTGAATAGTTAAAGTATTTTAATAAATATGAGCATTTTATACATTTTTCCCCACACAAATGTTCTGAAAATACAAAGGAAATAATGTAAGCCATTAAACTGTAATGCGTGCCTCTGCATTCCAGAGTCAAATTAATAATTTATTTGAACATTTCTAGTGTTTTCCTTCACTTGAGTCAGCGTTTTTTAAATATATTGTCTGCACGAATACAGCCTTTTATCTAAATTTGAATAATGTGACCTACATTTTTACAGTTATCTAATCTGTAACTAAACACAGTGTAAGATTAAAGATGAGATTAAAAATGGTTAGCTCAACTCTACCTAGATTCTTCTTGTATGAGGCAGGGATAAATGTGTGTATCTTGCTTGACTGGGATTGTTTTCATGTGAACTGTAAGATCTGCTTCCAAAGGTGGGTTCACGCTATGCRATTTTCAGCAGTTTTAGACACACTTTTGTCCTAAAAAAATGGAATAAAATATTTGGTCATGTTTGAATCAGTGATCTGTGGTGGCTCAGGGTTTATCAATAGCTGATTTAACCCTCTCATGACCAGGACAATTCACAACAAATATCAAGCTATGTTGGAAATTTCCTGGAAAAGTTATACAGCATGGGTCTCTTAGAAAATAGCTTAAGGGCCTGTTTTTTTAATTCTCAGCCTTTGATGCATAAAATACACAAATTAATAAAATCAAAATTAATTTTTGTGAATTCTCACATGTTTCTAGTTTGGTGTCAAGAGGTTCATGTCCAAGAAATAATTTAATATTTTCAATTAATCAAACATGGTTTTCAGCTTCAGGGGTTTATGCTCAATATTTGCTGTTAATTAACATAAGTGTAGCATTTTATTGGAAATGTTGAGAAGTGGTAAGCTGTTTTATAGATTTTTGTAAGCAATCATTCTTTTACCTTGAGATCTGTCAATTTTATTAATTTTGTTTATGTTTTTACTCACAGATTCCATTTACCATGCTTTTGGAATTATCATCATTATTATTTTAGTTTACCTTTATTTAACCAGGCACATCCCATTGAGATCACAAGTCTCATTTGCAAGGGAGGCCTGGGTTTGGGTCATTTTGATGTAACTTAAATTGGTTCCAATGTTTTTTATATAAATATATATTTTTATTATGTTTGGGATTTTGCCAAAGTCACAGTGAACAGATATTAAAGAAGAAAAATATGAGATCATTGAATAATAAATGTTAACTAGTCCTAAAGACATAACATACAAAATGTGAAACAAATCTGTGAACAGTTGTTGACAGAGATATGTGTTTATGTTTGGCATCATTAATTCACAAGTAGTATTGATATAACATTAAAATACAGAATACTATTTTATTATCATGCATTTTTAATTTAAATATAATCAGTCTAGCATAAACAAGAAAGTTAGGAATCTGAACCATATTGTGTGGTGTTTATTAGTTTAGCTGTTATAGCCATAAGGTGACGCATTATACCAAAAGTATAGAAGCTCAAGTCTGAACAGAGTGAGCCAAGCTTAAAGTGCCTGTGACATACATATCCTTCAAATACATAAAGTCAAAGAAAATATCTTTATATTTAAGAATCTTGACATAATTCATAATTTTAACCATTTTGCCACATAACTGGCATTATTTTCTTTTAAACTGGGCTCAGCCAAAGTGAAACAGGAAGTGACATCACAGGGGAAATATTTTGAAACATTATTTGAACTCTGATTCTGTTTCATCTCTCTCTTGATGGTGTCTCAAAATAATCTAAAGAAAGATCAGATTATTTTCTCTAGTCTGCTCTGTTCACATGCAGACATTCCCCTTTTACATCACTTCCTGTTATTTCACATGCAAACATCTCAATGGCTGTTTATCTCAGCGGTGTGATTTTTTAAAAATCTTTTGCAGTAAGTTATCAATATTATCTTGCCAAAATTTCACTATAAGCTTTACTAGTTAGTTCACAATAAACCCAATTCAATTGGGAGCAAATGAAAAATCTTTTAACTTTTTTTTTTTTTTTTTACTGGGGTAAGATCTATAGTAATGTATTAAAATGGAATGGTAGTAATAGGTCATAGCAAAGAGTTTTCTGTTTCATCAACACTGAAAATATGTGTTTTCATTGTTGGCAAACAAATGACATAATGTCTATGTTGGGGTCAGAAATGCATTTTGTTTCTTTTAAATAGTGTAGTGGTCATCTCGAGGTGGAATAAACAGTTCCACCTGTCTTTGACCTTGGTCTCAGAAGGCCTCCTTTAAAGAGACAGAACTCTGTTCCAGTTAGAACCATAGCAGGTTTGGCTTTCTTAAACAGTAAAGAGACATTTTCTTTACTTAATCAGGTAATAAACAGAATGATCGTCTTTGTTATGGTTTTTAATTTATTTTATTTTTGTTAATTTCAGTGGATAATGTGTTGAGCCAGTAGCGACATAGCTACGTGATAGAGGGTTTCTAAAACCTATCTCAAATCAGGTATCAAGCTGTTTCAGTATTTAATCTTGTATTTTATGCTCTTTAAAGGTTTTCTGACCTAAAAACTGTAAGTTCTTCTTTTCAGATATTCTGAGACTAGAGTTTAAAATTCTGCATTTTAGCCACTAAGATGAAGGCTAGTTTTAAGTTAGAAACAATATGTAACATTAATGCTGTTCAAATTCAAATTCAAAAATATTTTATTGATCCCAGAGGGAAATTAGGTGTAAATGTTTCACAAATAGGTCTGCTTTAACTTGTTCATTTGTTTTTTTTAGTATAAACCGACCATCATATTCATACCTGGCTTTACTTTTGTGTTCTATGCCCTCGGCTTTCTCCTCCAATGACACATCCCATTTCCATACCTGTGTGCCAACCCCCCCACCCCCCCCATAAATAAATAAATAAATAAATAAATAAATCACATGCATCCATTGTTTTGTTTCTCCTCCCCCACCCTACAAAATCTCACCAACTTACCTCCTGCCTTCTCTGCTCAGAACTGTCTGGGCTCTCCACCTCCCTCCTGTCTTCGCTCCTCTGGAGTTGACTCCCTTACTTCTCTTATCTCTTTCACCTTTACCTGCTGTCAGCACTTCACAGTCCTACCTCTCCTCCTCCTGCACTTATCTCTCTCCTCTCTCCCGCTTTCATCTGCCTGAGTCTCCCCCATCTTATTCATGAACGCTCTAATTCCCTATGTAGCCATCAGGAATGGCTTTCTCCATCTTGATCATTTATACTCCAGGTGGAGCGGTGGGGGGGGGGGGTGTTGGTGGTTAGGGCAAAGCTCCTCATCCTTTATCATCACCATGCTCTATGAATATTGCATTACAGATTTCTGAATAATCAATACAGTCAGTATCTCCTACCTTGTCCCCTATGATGAAATAACTTGCAATTAGTGTTCAGAGATGTAGGTAGCTGCATCGCCACTGGTTATCTGCCAGATGAAGGATTAGTTGAAGTTTTGCATTTTTTGGGGCTGTTCCCAGATGAGACTTTACAGTGCTGAATAGGAAATAAACCCAAAACGAAACATTTAGCTTACAATGTTTGTCACTGTAGTAAAACACAAAAATGGCATGATTTGGATCAAAACATTTAAATATTGAGTAAAGGAAATGTTCATATAATTTGATATTTTTAGAAATAGACATTTTCTGATGCATTTGCATCTCGTGTCCACATGCAAGCTGTGGTTTTGTTTAGAACATATTTTAGAACACTGTTTTTGTTTAAGCTAGAAAGTTGTAAAAAAATACCTTGGTGAATCTGACTTGAGGTACAAACTTTCTGTCAATTTATGACAAGGCAGCCTAATTTATTTATGTACACTTTCACTTTGTGTCATTGAAAATACAACCACAGAGGTGTTTGTTTATTTATTTATTTATTTATTTATTTATTTATTTTTGCCTTTGTTTGGTCTGGTTTATCTTACTTGACTGTACTTAACTGTCAGAAGCTATTTTGCAACACAAATTTTCAAGAAAAATAACAATTTTTTAGCTTCAGTTTGAGAGAATGTTTTGAACCAAAGAACCAGAAAACCCAGTGGTCACATTTTTTGCAGCTAGTTGTTGAAAATTACTTGTATGCACAAATAGAAAAACTGCAATATTGGTACAAACTGAGTCAAGGTGGTAGTGAATGTAGTAACGTGTATGAACCAAGACTGCAGTTTAGCAAAACCTAACCACTCAAAATGCAGCCATATGGCTCAATGGTTGCTTTGTCACAATAAGCTCACAGTTCAGTGACACTGCAACTAATAATTCACAGTTTTTTCCCCCTCAGTTTTGAGTGAGTTTTTTTCAAGAGCTCATCTACCAATAATACAAAGTACCCATTAGATTGGACCAAAAACCAGTTGTACTGGAATTCCGCCATTTTGGTAGAACACACGTAACCAGCAATGCCTGTGAACTGTTCAAAACACATTCATGTGCGTGTAATATATATTTTTGAGTTGTCAATGTTGACGTTTTAGTAATCTGGAATATTCACTTACCACTTACAAAGTGGAAAAAGAATGTGTTCTTTACTTTGGTGCAAGTGAGACCCAGGAAACAAATACAGAATTTGAATTGCTTGTTAAATGCAAGTAATAAAGCCATACTGATGGTCAGAGGGTCCAGTGGTGCTGGTGCATGGCAGCCCTGCCTCYGTCAGTGCACCCCAGGGCA